TGTCTCCTTGAACCGTGATGAAACATTTGCAGCCAAATTGCTAAGCTGGGAGCTCCTTTTAAGAATATTATTTTAAGAATAAGGTTACTGTGCTCTGTTAATGTTCCTCCTCCTGCTTTCTCCAACACATTTCCCTGGCTCCATTTGGAGTGAGGGGGGAAAATAGACAATTAATCCAGGCAACTAAATCCAAAGGGGGTAAAATGTAATCTTATGACAAGCTCAGTCACGGACAGGGTTAAATTCCACCTGGTCAACTGAGTTACAGAACACCCACACAAAGGCAGCTAGGGACACATTGTTTGTACTCAGTTCTCCAAAAAAAAAAAAGGAGAGAGAAAAGGTTAGAGATAAGAAAACAAACATTTCTATTAATGGACTCCCTGCCAAGATATAGTAACACACACTGGGTGGGTACCACAATGCCAGCCCGTCCATGCCGTTATGCCTTGCTTGCTTGCTAGTACAGTAAGTGAAGACATGGAGTTCTGCCAGTTCTGTGGGGTAAAGTTTCTTCTGTTGCCAGATATCTCCTGGAGAGAAGAAGGAGAGGATCACTACAGATAGTCCTTGATATATGTCCTCAATTGAGCACACAATTTGTTGTTGCAAAAGTGAGACAGTTCTTAATTGAGTTTCCCTCCCTTTCTTGCCACAGTGTTAAGAGAATCAATGCCATTCTTAAGTTAGTAGCGTGGTTGTTAAGTGAATCTGGCTGCCCCATTGACTTTGCTTGTCAAAAGGTCGTGAAAGGGACTCCCATGATCCCCAGGACAGTGCATAGGTCATAACTGTGAGTCAGTTGCCAAGGGTCTGAATTTTGATCATGTGACCATAGGGATGTAGCAACGATCAATGAGGGTGAAAAATGGTCGTAACTCATTTTTTTTCCAGTGATGTTGTAACTTTGGTCACTAAGTGAACTGTTGTAGGACAAAGACTACCTGTAATTCCAAGCTTTGAACCTATTGATGTAAATAACATGCTGCCAAAATCATTGATTAAGAGATTTGACTAAGTCAATGAGTGACGGGATTAAGGATGTTCTTGGAATGGAGAATCCTAAAACAGGTAGTCCTCGACAATTGAGGCCAAAATTTCTGTCGTTAAGTGAGACATTGAAGTGAGTTTTGACCATTTCTGGCTAGAGTTGTAAAGTGAATAAGTGAAGTTGTTTAGTTAGTAACAGGCTTGTTAAGTGACTCTCGCTTCCCCATTGACTTTACTTGTCAGAAGGTGATTACATGACCCCAGGACGCTGTAACCTGTCAACTCATAAAACATTTTGTATATACATTATATAGTTGACAATAGAAAGAAGGAGGGAGGGGAGTTTCAAAGAGCAGACAGGAGTGTGGAATCGAAAGTACATTCCATTCATATTTTCTTCAAAGACTGATTAGATAACTGAAGCTTCTGCCAAGCAAAAATCTAATTGGAGAGCATGATTGATGACTCTTGGCTATGGACGTTTTTGGATGATACACCCAGAGGGGGTTAATTGGAGTAACTGCCAGAATCCTGACACAACTGTCATAAGAATGAACCAGTGGCCGAGCACCTGAATTTTGATCACATGATCATAGGGAAGCTGTAAAGATTGTAACTGTGAAAAATGATCATATTTTTCAGTGCCATTGTAACTTTGAGTGGACATTAAGTGAACTGTTGTAAGTCAAGGGCTCTCCTTATTTACAGCTTGTCGTCGACTTTAAACCATTCATTTAGTCACCATTCTAAGTTACAACACACTGAAAAAAGTGACTTATGACCTTTTTTCTCACATCTATGACTCTTGCAGAATCCCGACATGCTCAAAATTTTGGATGTTGTCAACTGGCATGTATTTAGGATGTGGCTGCATTGTCCCAGGGTCATGTCATTTACCTTTTGCCACCATCTGACAAGCAAAGTCTTGGAGGAAGCCCAATTCATTTAACAATCATGTTACCAACTTACCAACTGCAGTGATTCACTTAACAATTGTGGCAAGAAAGGTCAGAAAATAGGGCAAAGTTCACTAAACAGCCTTTCTTCTTCAACAATGGAAATCTGGGGCTCAATTGGACTTGCAAGTACTTATTTATTAAATTTATATGTCACCCATCTTTCTATCCAGCAACTCCAGGTGGCTTACAATGTCAAATATTGCAGCATAAAAGAATTTGAAAACTGAGAATGAGAATGATTCAGAAGTTACGGCTAATGCCAGGGCTAGGTTTTTCAATCAGATCCATTACCACTAAAGATGTGCAAAACTGCCTGATTCAGGAACGGAATGTAATGTTCTGTAAAGCTCCAGAATGTTCTATGTCTCCTCTGGATCATACCATTTGGAGGGGGAGAGGCAGTAGATGGTTTCTGGAAATAAATCGTCTGAGTTAGAAGCAGTTTGAAGAGTTGAGGAAAATATGTTCCAGATTACACAGCCTCTTCCAGAGCCAAAACACTTCAGATCCATTTTTTGTTAAGAGGATATACTTTTGAAAACCAAACCAAATCATCCGTGGAATGGTATGATCTGATGTCAGACTTCAAACACAGCAATAAACCACAGGACCAAACATTCAAATCCATATCCAGGAACTTGGTTACAGTAAAAATTTTAGAGACATGACAGCTAGGTAGGTAAGCACATTAATTAAAGATGAGAAAGTTGGTATCTATGACAGATATTTATTGTAGGTGACAACTGATACTTATTGTGGGTTACCTTTAAAATAATTGCAGCTCTGGTACTCCAGAAAGCCACAGACAGCCAGGTTATGAGTATTTCTTGAATTACGGCCACAATGGAACCAAAAAATTTCCATTGTTAAAACAGAACAGTTATTAAGTGAGTTTTGCTCCTTTTTTCTTAGTCTTCATTGTTAAGTGAATCACTGCAGTTGTTAAGTGAATCAGTGGTCATTAAGCAAATCTTCTTCCCCTATTGACTCGGCTTGTCAGACATCAGGAAGGTTACAAAAGGTGATCACGTGACCCTGGAACAGTGCAATTGTCATAAATACATGCCAGTTGCCAAGCACCCAAATTTTAATCATGTCACCACAGGAATGGTTCAACAGTTGTAAGTATGAAAACTGACCATAAATCACTTTTTTTTTTTAGTGCTGTTATAACTTTGGTCACTAAACAAATGTTATAAATTGAGGATTACTTTGTATTGACTGTTTTACTCTCAGTATAGTATTCTTTGGTGTTTGGTAGAAAAAATAAAAAAGGCCTCCCAGTTTTCAGATAATTTTTTTCAAGATTAACCAGGAAAGGAAAGGGACACCAAAAAACATGGTTTCCCAACACCACATGAAACCTAAAAGTGAACCCCTACCCAATAACTGACCACTGGAGACCATCTGACCTTCAGCATGGTTTCTGCATCATGTTGCTTTCTCGTGCTGAATGCTGAGGCAGAAAATGAGGTTTGGTATGTAGCCTTTGACCCAGAACGTTGACCCAGATTTCTCCAGTTAGCGAAACAAGGAAACACTCTCTGGAGAATTGGAATTCCTAAAAGGAAAACTTTATTGGATGCACACCATGTTGATACTGAAGAATCAAAACCAGGTCTGGTTTCCCAAGCAAATGCTTGCTCAGTTAAACAATACTTTCTCTTTCTTCCCCACTCCTTGTTGTGGTTAGCCGGCAGCAGGTGTGGACAGCTGAGGACAGCAAGGACTCAGATGAGGGGACAGGACCATTAGAGAGTGGACTGCTGCCTTCAGAGATTGTGGGGGCTGGCAGCAGTGATGAGGAGGTTCCTGAGGAGCCTGTGCCAAGTGCACGTGCGCGCACTGTTGCTCATAGGAAAGAGCAGCTACAACAGCACAGGTGACTCGGGAGTAAGGCTGCAAGGTAATGACCCCTCCTTCAAGAATATAAAAGGCAGCTGTGCAGCGAAGGTTCTTTGTAGGAAGCAAAGACGTTTTGAGACTCAGCCTCGTGGACATTATAGTTGGTATTTGAAGACTCTTGTGTTGTAAACTATTTCTTATCTGTTATTTTTTGGCAGCCTTGCAAAAAACTTGGCAAGGCTCTTTCTTGTTGGAGCTAATTAGTTGGAAGCAGCCTTTTATCTGTGAAGAAATAGGATTTATAGATGAAATATTAAAAGGTTATGCTGCTGCCTTTGTCGTGTTTGCTCTCTTGGAAACAGGTTTGGGTCAGAACACTCCTGGTGGATTATATTGTCCAATTATGAGATGTTCTTTAATTATGGGAACAGGCCATCTCTTTCTCAAGCACCTGCAGTGGTGACCTTGATGGCTTCCATGCTCTCATGATCTTTGCATACATTCTCCACATTCCATTTCCCTCTTTCCCTCCCCCGGTTCATTGGTGTTAAGCCTGGATTCCCCAACGGGTGTTAAGGAAAACAAACTAAACAGAACGTACAGCGAAGTCAGACAGGAAGACAGGTAAATGTGTGAGATAAGTTTTCTAGTTAACACGCAGTAAAAATACAGATACGCTTGTGCTATCAAAAATATAGTTTATTCCATTTAAGAATTATAGCATAGTCAAATGTAACGGTCCATTAGTCATCTATCAATTTCAGTCAAGTCTTGTCGGGGATACTCTATTTGCAAAGTCCGTGTTGAATAGCCAATGTCAGTTCACTTACAATAAATCAGTCCAATCTTTATCTTCTCTCCATTGAGAAAATCAACACTCCTTTTTCTCTCCCCGTTCCAGCAAGAACGCAGTCATCAATCCTTCCAGTAATTAGGGATCAGTAAGCCAGAGAGAGAGAGCTGCAATTGCCTCGCTTCTTATATAGTGCTTTTACAACCACACCCTTAATTACATTCCTGCAGTTAAAGTTACACACACTTTAACTAACAAACCATGATACCATATTTATTATTTTTACCCAAACCAGTTACAATGTTATCCCTAACATTTGGCAAGCTGAAAAACATTAAGGTTTGAAAGAAGCAAAGCAGTTCCATCTTGACGTGCTGACAATATCCTGCATTTTTCATTCTTTTCCTTTGCAGTTTGGGCCTTCAGACAGATCCTCTGCTGTCCTTCCATTTTGCTCGGGCCGTTGGCAAGTTGCCTCCCAACCACGACCCTGAGGAATACCAGCATTTCATCAACAAGTTTGGCACCCATTATATCAACAAGGTGAATCTGGGTGGGCGAGTTCGTTACTTGGTGGCTTTGAAAACTTGCATCATGACCTTAATGGGGTTCACAGCTGAGAAAGTCAAGCTCTGTTTAGATTTGAAAACAAATCTGAAACATATGGGGTTTGGGGGATCTATTTCCTTGCGTTCCAAATGTGCCAAACTCCAGTTTGGGAAATCTAAATTCAGGTTCCATGACCTTTACATGGACCAGGACACAGAGGTGGTTGGCGGTCACAAAAACATGGTCTTCTCGGAAAGCAGAGACATGCACCATCTCGCAGAATGGATGGATAGCACCAAAAGGACACCTGGGTTGGTGTCTTATTCCCTTTTATCTCTACACACCTTGTTGAACAAAACAGATCCCAGGAGGAATTTTTTAAAGCAAGCCATTGTGAGCTACATCAAACAAAGAGCCCTAAGGAGAGACTGTCGCCAAAGCTGTCCTGAGAACTTCAACAGCTTGGTCCACAAGTGCACTTGCATGTGTATACCCAACGGTGTCATCAATGACAAATGTTGTGGCACCGAGCAGGGCAGGGCTTACCTCAAGTTCCACGTGCACAGCGGATCTGGTCTTTGGGGTGACTACTTTTCCTCCACCGATGCCTACGTCAAAATTTTTTTCCAAAACCAGGAAAGGCGTACTAGGGTGATCGGTGGGAACGACAATCCTCAGTGGTCAGAAATTCTGAACTTTGGGGCTGTCACACTGGATGGCAATGACAAGTTTGTGATGGAGGTTTGGGACAGCGAAGTCTGGCATGATGAGCTCTTAGACCAATGTCAAGGGAGGCTGAGGTCAGGCTTTAGTGGCTGGCTCAGATGCTACCTCCAACATGGATACGTTTGGTTCAATTACATGTTGACATGTGCCCCCACTCTGACCGGCTCCAGCTGCCATGACTATGTCCCTTTGCATCTGCCAACCTCCTATTTCAATGACACTAATCCCAACTGGGAAACTTCATGGTCACACAAATTTCGTACCTAGGTACTCATCCTGATAAATTAAGGCATTATTCAGAATTGGAAGGGATCTAATATACAACAACCGAGAAAGAGTTATTGAACAGATAATTCCTATAAAATGTAGTCCTCAATTTACAGCCACAATTGAGCCTAACATTTATGCTGTTAAGTGAGACAATTGCTAGGTGAATTTTTGCCCCATTTTGCGCCTTTGCTTGCCACCGTTGTTAAGTGAATCGCCGCAGTTATTAACTCAGTAACACAGTTGTTAAGCGAATCTGGCTTCCCCATTGACCTTGCTTGTCAAAGGTGTCATAAAGGGATCACATGACCCCAGGATACAGCGGCTGTCATAAATATGAACCAGTTGCCAAATATCCACATTTTAATCACATGACGACCATGGGGATGCTATAACAGTTGCGAAAAAAACGGTCATAAGTCCCTTTTTTCAGTGCCGTTGTTAATTCAGTCACTAAATGAACTGTTGTAAATCAAGGGCTACCTGTAAAAATGTAGGTGGGCTCAATCATTTCTTTCTTCTTAATATCTTTGTTATTATGATGCACTAGCGCCGTGATGGCGAACCTATGGCATACGTACTGGGAGTGGCACGCAGAGCCACTTCTGCCGGCATGTGAGAGGTCGCCCGGAAGAGCCCCCCTGCGCATGTGTGCGCACCGCCCGCCCAATAGCTGATTGTCAGGTATCTGGTGTGCATGCATGGGTGTGTGCAGATGTGCACACATGCGCAGAAATGCCTGGGGCACATGGGGGTCTCGTGCACATGCGCAGAGATGTGCGGGGTACGCGCACACATGCGCAGGGCCTGGGGGTCCCCCGCGCACATTGCCTTCTGGGTGCTGGCAAGCGAGCGCAAGCGCGCTCACAATTTTTAGCACTGGAGGCCAGAAAGGTTAGCCACCACTGCACTAGTGCTTTTTCAAGTGGTCCCATTGTACTGTGGACCAGGTATATATGAGGGCCACCCCGTTGGGAACTTGTAACACGACATGGCCCCCTTTTTGCATATGTCATAATCACATCCTGTATGGATACTATATTTTTGTATTTAGCTTGCAAAAGATATATTTAGCTTGCAAAAGAAAATTGCTAAGGAAAGATGTCTAGGCAGATTCTCAGTCATCCAATCATGGTTATTTCAAAAATGCTTTTCTTTCCCCCAAGAGGCCACTGGATTTCCTTTGTTTTTCCTTGAAGATATTTCACTTCTTGCCCATGAAGCTTCTTTAGTTCAGCTCTTCTTCAGAACTGAAGAAGCTTCTTGGATGAGAAATGAAATGTCTTCAAGGAAAAACAAAGAAAGTCCAGTGGCCTCTTGGGAAAAGAAAAAAAAAAGCACCTTTGGCGAGATACAGTAGCAATCTTCAGATAGGTTATCAGATTAGAAGAGCGAGCAGATTGGCAGGAAGGACCAGAATTCAGTGAGCAGGAATGAGATTCGAGGAAGAACTGTCAACCATCAAAGCCATTGGTTCCAAGATGTGGAATGTTCTTCTTCCACTGGAAGTCTTCAAATAGAGGCTGGGGAGGAATCTGTCCCAATTGTAGGACAAATGGACTAAGCAGGATGTCAGACCAAGTGACCTCCAGAATCTCTTCCAATGCTATGATTGTACTCAGTATTTGGAGCCTGCAATCTAACATTAGCACAGGGTCTCACTGTGACTTAGGGTCAATATCCCTGATTGAGATCCCTTTTCTGCCTGTGTATTATATATGAAACTCTGAAACCGATGGACACCTGCCACATTTTCAAGGATGAGTTCAAAATAGACGCAGGAAACGTCCTGACCTAACTACACACCCATGTAAAAGAATTCTCTTCTGCCAGATCCTTCCTGTACTATTCAAGCTCCGCTTCTAATTGCTTTCAACAACTTTCACACGATCTGCACAATACATGTGAAACATATGAAAATAAATCTTCAAAATCTGACTGTGGTGTGTGCTTTGTTCTTTTTTTCCTCATTATATTGTTGTTTTAGAAAACTATTTAAAGTTGATTTGTACACATCCATAGGTTTCTGTAGGACTATGAATATTGCATAGATAATCAACACTAAAGTTTTTATGAATGAATGGCATGGCTTTTCTTTAACAGTGGAGAATGAGATGGGTTCCTCTAATGAAAAGAAGGGGAGATACAATAAACAATCTTTCAATATCTGAGGTGAGGTGCCACAAAGAAGAAGGGATAAATGTATTCTCCAAAGCACCTAAAGGGAAGTCAATGGATGAAAACTAATCAAGGAGAAAAACAGCCTAGAACTAAGGAGAAATTTCCTAAATAAGAACTAGAAGTAACATGATAGCACCTTTCCAGTATTTGAGAGGTTGCCATAAAGAGGAGTTAGCTTTATTTAGCAAAGCATCAGAGGGCAGGACAAGAAACAATGGATGGAAACTAATCAAGGAGAGAAGCAAAGTGGAATTAAGGAAAAACTTCCTCACAGTGAGGAGGACAATTAACCAGTGGAACAGCTTGCCTTCAGAAGCTATCGGTGCTTCATCACTGGAGGCTTTTAAGAAGAGACTGAGTATAGGATCTGCTGGACTAGACTAACCCTAACCTTCAAGGTCCCTCCCATTTCTGTTATTCTGACTCTGATTTTACTCCACTAGTTCAGATGAAATTCTGAATTGTCATCTCCAACATGAGGCTCTCCAGAAGAATGGGAGAAATAGATCCATTAGAGCAAATGGATGACAGAACCTTTTTTTTTTTTACAAAAAACATTAAAATAAATAAAATACTGGGGGGAGACTAGTCTGAATTGGGTTATGAAGCTGGCGTTGCTTCACCTCTTCCCATTGTACTCAAGGCTGCCGGCCGTGAGTCATTCCCAAATCTCGAACAAGCCACGGAGGCATCAGCGGGAAGGAGCCCGAAGGCCCCCTCGTCGCTTCTCCTGCCTCGGATTCTAGGGCTGGATCGGAGACCCGCATTGCTGGGAACTCACCCACCTTCAGAAGGTGGCACCCTGCTAGGGTGGCAAACTTGGCCCTTCTCTCAGACCTTCCCAGAGGCGGGACAAAGGGTGATGAACACCCAGCACGTGGCCTCTACGGAGAGCTTCCTCCCAGTAATTATTAAGTATTCGCATTACGTACCTTATATAAACGCTAATTCTTAATTTTAGGCAAGTTAGGGTGGTTGTTAATCCATGCCAGAGGTCTTCCTACCAGTTCCAAGCACGAGAAAACTACGTCCTTTGCTAAAATATAATATGTTTACAAATTGTAAAACACGCCTTTCGGGGTAAAACAGAGGCTGGAGAACGGATATTTCTAATTCGAGCGGCGACCATCACGCACTTCTTTATATATGCAAATCACCCTCTCTTTTTTTTTCCTCCCTCTTCTTCCCTCCCATTGGTTTTAGCCAATGGATGGGCGAGGATCGTTCTTTGGTCCTCCTCCTCCTCCGCGAGGACCTGCCTTCTTTTCTTTTCCAGCGTCTCTGCGCATATGCAAATTTAACGAATGCAATATTAAAAGGGGCGGAATCTTCCCGGGTCATAGAACATTGCCGGGAAGGAGCCTGCGAGAGAAAGGCGGAAGCGTCAACCCGGGCAGTGAAAGCGGAAGTTGCTGGTGAGTTGGTTGCAAAAAAAACCCCAAACGGGAGGACGAGTTCCCACGACGCGGGAAAGCTAGTTTTGTATTAGCGTCAAAGGGAGGGGAGACCAGCGGTGCAAAGTTCAAAAACTCTTGTTTGCAGTAAAATAAACCTTGTTAAAAAGTGGACAGGGTCGTGGGAGGCGCTGTTTTGGTGACTTGTTGGGGGATTGAATATAGGGGTCCTAAGAGTCAAGCAAAGAAAAGGGGGGAGGGGGCGAAAAATGCACGCTTAGGTGGTCCCTAAGAATATGCTGACTTGCCTGCCAATGTTTTCCGGTGGACTGAGTGGTTTCAGTAAGATGGCTGGTCCTTCTTCTTTTTTTTTGCAAATTTTCATCTTCTATTTAAATCTTCTATTTAAAAATTTAAAAATAAATTTTGCAAAATTTAATCTGGGCGGGAAAATTGAGCGGACTTTGTCTCCGAACACGAATCTGAATGTGGGCTTAATCTGATGGAAATATCTATCTGCTGCTCTGATTGGGGTCAGGGAAGATCTGAGCATGTGCAGAGTGTACAACTGAGCCCAAAATTTTATGTGGCTAAGGGAGGCATTGGTTAAGGGGGGGGGTTGCTCCATTTTACAGCAGTTGTTAAGTGAATTGTGCAGTTAAGTTAGTCACAGGGTTAAGTGAATCTGGCTTCCCCATTGACTTTGGTTGTCAGAAGGTTGCAAAAGGGGATCACATGACCTTGCACACTGCAACCATCATAAGTATGAACTAGTGGCCAAATGTCTGAATTTTGATCCTGTGATCAGTGGTGGGATTCAAAAAAATTTATGACTGGTTCTGTGGGTGTGGCTTGGTGGGTTTGGATGGTGGGCATGACTTGGTGGGCGTGGCAGGGGAAGGTTACTGCAAAATCCCCATTCCCTCCCACCCCACTAACCTACTTTCCAGCTCTGCTCTCCTGTGCAGGGCAACCAAAGAAGAAGACCCAGCCAATCAGCTGGGACTCAGGAGGCAGAGAATAAATGGGAGCAGGACCAGTCAGAGGAGGTATTTGTCGGTTCTCCAAACTACTCAAATTTTCCTCTACTGGTTCTCCATAACTGGTCAGAACCTGCTGAATACCACCTCTGCCCATGATTGTAAGGGTGCTGCAATGATTGTAAGGGTGAAAAACAGTTTTCAGTGCCATTGTAATTCCAAATGGTCATTAAATGAATGTTGTAAATTGAGGATTACCTGTTTCTCCCATGCAACTGACTAGCCATTGCTAATATTGCTAAAGGTCATGTAGTGCCATAATAAAAGGGTACAATACTAATAAAAGTAGCTGGCAAACCGTTTTCGGGGTAGTGGTAATAATATCCAGGGATGGGTGTCTGTGGAGATTCTCAATCATCCAGGTCATAGTTGTCCCAAAGGTGCTTTTTCCAAAAAGTCAACTGGACTTTCTTTTCTTCCTCTTTGAAAACATTTCACTTCCCATCCAGGAAGCTTCTGCAGTTCTAACTGACTGGTGGGGAATGAAACGATTTAAGTTCTTTGCAATCATCTAGTTTTCAGCACTCTGAAGGTTGATTGTTAGTTCACAGCCAGTCATTGAGACCACTTGGGTTTTGTCTGTATCCTCAGAGTCCCCTGAATCAGAGTGCAAATGAGTGTAGAAAGTTAGCACCCACCCCTCTCCTAGAAAAATGAAATATCCTGGGAAATACTAAAAAGGCAGAATATTTCCCCTAAAAAGAGTAAAGTAGAAACTCAGAGAAGCAGAAACTCAGCCCCCCCCCACCTTTGTTAATGGGCCATTAAGGCCTAGGCCAGAGTATTCTACATAACAAAGGCCTCTACTCATCTCACCACCTGGCCTGGGAAGATTGCATCAGCCAGCATTCAGGTGAAGCCATGTGGTCCAGACAAAACCTACAAAGTTAGCTAAGGAGTCTGGGAGCCAATGGGATACATTTCTTACACAGGAACAGGAAACACTAAGGTGTGGCCCAACAGAGGTTATATAAGGGTCTCTCGGCATCTTGATCTTTCTTCTTGATCTTCTCTTTTCACCTTGGAGCATGTGATCATTCTTTTCACTTTGGAGCTCCAAGCCATGTGGTCCTGTCCACCATTAAACCTTCTAAACAGCCTCCATGTTTCCAGTGTCTTTTTCCTCACTTGGAACTGAACCCAGAAGGATGTTTCTTCCAACATTGGGCCTGTGTTGTAAGCAGGAGATAGGTTGTGTTATATCCCTTTCAGTGGTGGGATTCAAGTTTTTTTACTACTGGTTCTGTGGGCGTGGCTTAGTGGGCGTGGCAAGGGAAGGATAGTGTAAAATCTCCAGTCAGAGGTGGGATTGGTCGGTTCTCTGAATTACTCAAAATTTCTGCTATCGGTTCTCCAGAACTGGTCAGAACCTGCTGAATACCACCTCTGATCCCTTTTCATTTTGTTGAGGAAGGGCTGTTCTGTTTTGATATAGATGGCCTCTTTGACGCCTCTTTCAAACTTGTGATCCTTTTTCTGTCCAAAATGTGAACTTTGCTGTCCTCAAAAATGTTGAAAGAAATGTCCATCTGGATTCAGTTGCAAGTGGGGAGAAAGTCACTGGAAACATGGAGGCTGTTTGGAAAGATGGTTTAATGGTAGACAGGACCACATGCTTTGAGGTCCTGGACAATTGAGCACATTGATGAAAGAGAGATTTATACCCTTGGGCTTTGAACTTGCTTATCCTGATTGGTTATCAGATTCCCATGGGACCATGAAGACGTAACTTTATAGGTTGTCTTGAGTCCCAGGCTTGGTTGAACCTTGCTGGCTGGTGATGTACTGAAGAGGGTTGTGTTCTGAAAGGGTGTTGGGCAATTCCTATTATGGCTTAATGGCTTTGTCCTGATTTGGATCTTGAGTGAGGGCTAATCTTATCATGTCCTGAGGATGAAGGTCTAAGCTGGCCCAGTCTTTTGTCTTGTAGATAGGTTGACACCAAAATTTTTGCTTGTGGGGCAGGGAGCTGTGGCTCCTAGTTTATGTCTTTAGAAACATGTTTCTCCTTTAGGGAAAATATAATATTCTGCCTTTTAAATATTTTCTACAATATTTCATTTTTCTAGGAGAGGGGTGGGTGCTAACTTTCTTCAAAGACATGACCCTTGCTTTTCACATCCAAACGGACTGTTGAATACAGAGTTGGTTCTCCTGTGTTGTGCCATGCACTTGTGAATTGGTTGTTTTGTTTCCCCAATGTAAACGTCTGGAGATGTCTGGCTGCATTGCATTGCATATACCACATTGCTGTTTGTATCTGGGTGTTTTCAGAGGTCCGCTGATTTGAAAGAGGCCATCTATATTAAAATTGAATAGCCCTCCCTGAACAGTTCATGTCCTGTTTACAATGCAATCCCAAGAATTACACTCTGATTCAGGTGACTCTGAGGTTATAGATTAAACCCCCAAGTGGCCTCAATGGCTCTGAGTGTTAAACAAACAGATGATTGCAAAGAATATAAACCTTTCCATTCCCCATTAGTTATGTTGGAAGAAACATCCTTCTGGGTTCAGTTCCAAGTGGGGAAAAAGACACTGGAAACATGGAGGCTGTTTGGAAAGATGGTTTAATGGTAGATAGGACCACATGGCTTGGAGCTCCAAAGTGAAAAGGATGATGATATGCTTCAAGATGTTGGGTGAAGGAAAAGAAGGGGGAAAGGGGGGGGGGTCAAGATGCTGAGAGTGCAAGTTTTATACCCTCAGTTGGGCCACACCTTAAGCGTTTCCTGTTCCTGTGTAAGAAATGTATCCCATTGGCTGTCAGACTCCCAGGGGTGGGGGTCTTAGCTAACTTTGTAGGCTTTGTCTGGATCACATGGCTTCACCTGAATTCTGGCTGATGCAATCTTCCCATGTCAGGTGGTGAGATGGGTAGAGGCCTTTGTTATGCAGAATATTCTGGCCCAGGCTTAATGGCCTGCCCATTAACAAAGATGGGGATGAGCTTCTGCTTCTGAGGTGAGTTTCTACTTCCCTTTTAGGTGAATATTCTGCCTTTTTAGTATTTCCTAGGATATTTCATTTTTCTAGGAGAGGGGTGGGTGCTAACTTTCTACAGTTAGTTACAACTTAAGAAGCATCTTGGATGAGAAGTGAAATGTTTTCAAATTAAAAACTAAGAAAGTCCAGTTGGCTTTTGGAAGAAAGCACCTTTGGGATTTCCAGGGATGAAGTTCCAGAACATCCACACAAACACTGCACACCATTTAGGAAATTAACCACTGAATAGATAAGAAAAAATGTCTTGCTGTATTCCAGCGGGGAAGGGCTTGTTATAGCAATGGTAGAGATGCAAAAACATGTTGAATGGCACTTTCAAAACCAGTGGCTTTATTGTGGAAAAGAAAATAGCAAAAGGGGTACATTGTAATGCACAAATTCACGTAGACTTGTTAGTTTTCAAGCAACCATAAGCAACACTTAATTATAGGTTCATTTCAGACTTAAAAGATGTTGTATTTGCTGCGAAAACCAGAAATGTTTCAAAGCTTGCTCTCTTAATGATCCAGAATCCACACCCTCTTCCTACAAAACTGTCCATAAACTCCTAAAAGGCACAGTTAAGTGATACTCACCTGATTCAAGCCTTCAACGCATTTGCCCGGCAACTTAAAAATATGCTTCTTACAACAGGTAGAAAAAGACAATCCTACAGAAAGATATCTATCTTTGTGGGTCTCTAAAGATAGCAAGGTTATTAAGACATTCACTTTGGTTTTGAAGGCAGGAAAAACATCTTGCAGATAGGCCTCGACTTACAGTGAGAATTGAGCCCAAAATTTCTGTCGCTAAGTAAGACAGTTGTTAGGTGAGCTTTTCCCCATTTTGTGACCTTTCTGGCTACAGTTGTTAAGAGAATCCCTGTTAAATTAATCCCCGTTGTTAAATTAATCTGGCTCCCCCATTGACATTGCAGTCATCCTAAATATGAACCATTTGCCAGAAATCTTGAATTTTGATCACATGACCATAGGGATGCTGCAATGGTTGTAAGTGTGGAAAAATGGTCATAAGTCACTTTTTCCAGCGTGAGTTGTAACTTCAGTCACTGTTCTGACCCAAACCCTTTTCCAAGAAGACAAACAATAACCAAAGGGAACAGAAACCTTTTAATGAGTCTTACGAATCCCCAGTTAAAAGGCTGCTGCAAACTAATTAACTTTGATAAGCACAAACCTTGCCAAAACTGTACAAGACTGCCAAGAATCACAGGTAAGAAATATTTCACAACACAAGAGTCCAAATTAAGATACTGTAATATCCACGAGGCTGAGTTTCAAAACGTCTTTGCTTCCTGCAAAGAACGTTTGCTGCACAGCTGACGGAGGGGCCATTACCTTGCAGCCTTACTCCCGAGTCGCCCGTGCTGTTGCAGCTGCTCTTTCCTGCGAGCAATCCTGCATGCACACGCACTTGGCACAGGCTCCTCGGGAACCTCCTCATTGCTGCTGCCAGCCCCCACAAAGTCTGAAGGCAGCAGTCCACTCCCTAATTGTCCTGGCCCCTCATCTGAGTCCTCGCTCTCCTCAGCCATCCACAACTGCTGCCAGCTAACCACAACAGTCACTAAACGAACAATTGTAAGTCAAGGGCTATGTATATTGGCAATCCCTACTAGCATCTCAAGAATGGTTAGGCACACAACATCTAGGGAAGGGTCAGAGAAAGAAACCCATCTTCCTGTTTGCAGAAATGGGATAATGGTTGCAGGTTAGAGCCATAGTGGCCCAGTGGTTAGAATGCAGTATTGCAGGCTAACTCTGCCCACTGCCTCTTGTTCGATCCTGACAAGACTGAAGGTTAACTCCATCTTTCCAAGGTCAGTAAAATAAGGACTCCGATTGTGTCGGGCAATATGCTAATATTGTAAGCTGCCCAGAGAATGTAGTAAAGCACTATGGGGCAGCATATACAGGTAGTCCTCGACTTACAACAGTTCATTTAGTGACCATTCAAAGTTACACCGGCCCTGAAACAAGTGACTTTCGACCATTTTACACACGTGCGACCTTTGCGGCGGCCTCATGATCATGTGATCAAAATTCAGAAGCTTGGCAAACAGTTCATACTTACGACCATTGCTGAGTCCCAAGGTCATGTGATCGCCTGTTGTGACCTTTTGATGAGCAAAATCACTGGGACAGCAAGATTCTGTTAACAGCCATGTGGTTAACTTATCAACCGCACTGATTCACTTAACAAGTGTGGCGAGAAAGGTCGTAAAATGAGGCAAAACACTTAAGAAATGTCTCACTTAAACAGCCTAAATTTTGGGATTGTAAGTCGAGGACTGTCTGTACAGTAAGTGCTGTTGCAGATTAGCTTCAAGTGCCAGGTTGGGGGTGGCCCTCCAAATTGACAATCCAGCCGCTTAGGTGTATGTTGTGTTGCTGTCGCAGGGATGGAAAGGAAACGAACGGCTCCCAAAGCCCAGCCTGACGATGCAGGGACCCAGACTGACCTGCGCTGGGAGCGTGAGGTCAGTGGCAACCAATGGCAGGTGTTCCCACCTGAGCAGAGTGAGGCCCTCAGCCAAGCAGCTCGGTAAGTTGGCTTCCTAGAAGAGGAAGAGGAGAAAAAAATAACGCAGCAGCCTGGAATTGGTTGCTGAGGTTGCAATGCATGTTCCCTGCAGGGCACGGAAATGGTCAGAAAAATTAGGAGACGACCATGTGGACCTGCGCAAGATGTTGCAGAGGAACAAGCAGAGCGGTCAGGAGAACCGTGTCCGTGCGGCTGTCTGGGATCAGAAATCTTGTAAGTTTCTGTTTCTAATTGTATAGGTAGTCCTCAACTTACAGCAGTTCATTTACTGAACGTTCAAAGAAACAGCGGCCCAGAAAAAAGTCACATGACCATTTTTCGCACAACCGTTGTGCTGTGTTTCCCCAAAAATAAGACCTATCCGGAAAATAAGCATTAGCACTTTTCAGGATGCTCTTAATATAACCCTACCCTAAAAATAAGCCCCAGTTAAGATCATCAGCCAGATGGGTTTATTTATATATTTCTCCCCAAATAAGTGAAAATAAGACCTAACCGGAAAATAATTCTGAATATCTCTCTTGGAGCAAAAATTAATATAAGACCCATTGTTATTTTCAGGCAAATATGGTAGCATCCCCATAGTTGTGTAAATCAAAATTCAGGCACTTGTCAACTGACTCATGTTTATGACGGTTGCATTGTCCCAGGGTCATGTGATCTCCTTTTGCGACCTTCTGACAAGCAAAATCAATTGGGGAAAGCTGGATTTACTTAAGAACCATGTGTGATTCACTTAACTATGGCAGGGAAGGTTGTAAAATGGGATAAAACTCACTTAAGAAATGTCTCACTTAGCAACAGAGAATTTGGGATCAATTGCAGTCGTAAATTGAGGACTACCTGTATTTATTGCATTTATATTCTGCTCTTTAGGTGAACATTGCCAGTGTCCACCTTAACTGCTCCTGCCCTTTGATTCTCATACAGGTGGTCCCTGACCTATAACTCATTTAGGAACTTCTCAGAGTTGAACACCTTGAAAAAAGGGACTTGTGTCCAGTCCTCTTATTTGCAACTGCAGCCTTCTCACAATCACATGATCAGAATTCAAATGCTTGGCAACGGGCTTGTATTTACCACAGTTGCAGCTTCCTAGGTCACATGTTCACCATTTGTGACGTTCCCACCGGGCGACTGGCACGCAAAGTCAATGGAGAAAGGCGGATTCGCTTAAGGACCACATGGTTTGCTTAGCAACCATGGCAAAAAATGTTAAAGGGTTGTTTAACAACCCTTGCTTAACAATGGAAATTCTTGTTGCACTGGGTTCTGATAAAACAAGAGATCGTCCTTGACTTACAACTACAATGGAGCCCAAAATTTCTGTTGTTAAGTGAGACATTTTTTTTGTTCAATAATTTTTATTGTTATTTTCCAGCTTTAAAACATGTTAATCTTAATTTTAGTGGTACTGTGTCATCATTATTATACACATTATTATTCAAACTGATCTCATATTATACAAATTGTTATACAAACCAATCTCATAAATATCTACATTTGTATATCTTTATATACATTTATATATTTTTATCTGTAACTTTCTTATTTCCTTTTATCTTTGTTTCTCTTACTCCAAGTGAGACATTTCTTAAATGAGTTTTGCCTCATTTTCTGACCCTCCTTGGCACAATTGTTAAGTGAGTCACTACAGTTGTTAAATTAGCTACACAGTTGTGAAATAAATCTGGCTTTCCCATTGATTTTGCTTGTCAGAAGGTCACAAAAACAAATCACATGATCCTGAGACACTACAACCGTCAGAAGTATGAACTGGTTGCCAAGCACATGAATTTTGATCACATGATCATGGGGACATTACGAAGGTCGTACATGTGAAAAATGGCCATAAGTCACTTGCTTCAGTGCTGTTGTAACTTCAAACAGTCATTAAATGAACTGTTGTAAGTCAAGGACTACTATATCATAAAATGTGGCTACATGTATGAGAGACATGGTTGAGCCAAGGGAAGGAGTCAAACCAGGAATTAATCTGGAATCCATATGTAGGCACAGGAGAGTGAATTCTCACCCTCCTTACTTGCCGCTAAACTTTTATTTGGATAAGAGACTAGCGGTAGACAGCATGATTTCTCTTCCTCCTCTGCACCTCAGAGAGATTTAGACTGGATTTCTTATATTAATTCAATTTTATTATCCTTTCCCCCTTTTTCGCCCACATGGGTGCAGATTTTGTCTGGCAATGGGAAGGAGATGAGGAAAACGACTGGATTCCATACCCCGCTACCACCTGCTTGAATTTACGGGCAGCTAAGAACGGTGACCGGAGACCCATAGTGTATTTGACATTTAGTCGAACGCGCTACAAGCTGGACACAGCCCGCATGGTGCAGACAAACCAGCGGACTAAATTTGAACGTCGGATGGACTGCAGGGAATCAGGTATCAGTGTCCAGGTAGACCACAGGGGAGCCCAAAATTTATGTCTCTAAGTGAGACATTTGTTAAGTGAGTTCCCCCCCATTCCCCCCCACCTTTCTTGTCACAGTTGTTAAGTGAATCAGTGTAATTGTTCAGCTAACGACATGCCTGTTATTAGATGGGGAATTTGGTTTCCCCGTGGGCTTTTTCTGGTCACAAAGTCGGAATCACATGAACCTGGGATCACATGACCTTGGGACACTGCCCCCATAGTAAATTCGAACCCATTGCCCGGTTTTTTAATTTTGATCACATGACCCTGGGGATGCTGCAACATTCGTAAGTGTGAAGCATAATTGTAAGTTGCATTTTTTTCAGTGCTGTTGTAACTTTGAGCCGTCACTAAATGAACTGTTGTAAATCGAGGGTTACCTGTACAGAAATTTATTCTGATGCTGGGAATTGAACTGTGGAACTTGGCTGGGCTCTATCCTTACAAGTGGAAATCTGTGAGCATAGATTTGGCCTCGGGGCCCCTCTTCCTCTGGGACAATGTCATAAACATGAGTCAGTTGACAAGTGTCTGAATTTTGATCTCTATGGAGATGCTACCATATTTGCCTGAAAATATTAATTTTTGCTCCAAAAGACACATTCAAAATTATTTTCCAGTTAGGTCTTATTTTCATTTATATTGGGGGAAATATGATAAATGAGCCCATCTGACTGACGATCTTAACTGGGGCTTATTTTTAAGGTAGGGTTTATATTACGAGCATACCAAAAAAAATCATGATAACGCTTATTTTTGGTTAGGTCTTATTTTGGGGAAAATGCAGTAAATGTGTGTCTGGTTATCTTAACTGGGGCTTATTTTTAGGGTAGGGCTTATATCGAGCATCCTGAAAAATTTTCCAATTAGGTCTTATTCCGGGGAGAGACTGCACCGTGGTTGTGCAAAAAATGGTCATGTGTGACTTTTTTTCAGTGCCGTTGTAACTTTGAATGGTCACTAAATGAACTGTTATAAATCAAGGGCTACCTGGTCAGAAATTAATTCTGATGCTGGGAATTGAACTGTGGAACTTCGGCTGGGCTCTATCACTCCTTGCAAGTGGCAATTTGCGAGCTTAGATTTGGCCCCGGGGCCCCTCCCTCTCTGTCCTTACACAGGAATTGAAACTACAACTGAACCTACCCCGTCTCCCGTCCCATTTTGCCTTTCCCTTTCTTTTCCTGATTCAGATGCAACAGAAGCAGAGGTTGGATCTCAGCTGAGCAGCAGTGACTTGGATGCCAGTATGGTGGTTCCTGCTAAGAAGTGCCAGACTGAATTAGATGCCCCTGCATCTCAGGGGCAAGGAGATGATGTCAGTAAGTGCCAAGAAAATGATTTTAGAGGTCAGTGCGTGACGGTATGGCAGAAAGAACAGCCTGGCCCTTCAGAAATAAGAGTCGTGGTGGAAGTTGGTAATAGGAACTGCGATTAGGAGTCTCATAAGAAGTTAAAAGGTAAAGGTTTTCCTTGTCCAGTTACATCCGACTCGAGGGGGTGGTGCTCATCTCTGTTTTTTAGCTGAGCGAACCAATGTTGTCTGAAGATGCTTTCGTGGTCATGTGGCCAGCATGTCTATACGCTGAAGCACACGGAATGCTATTACCTTCCCACCGAAGGGATACCTATTAATCTACTCACATTTGCATGCTTTTGAACTGCTACGTTGGCAGGAGCTGCAGCCCATAATGGGAATTCTTCCTGTCACATTGCTCTCGGGTCTCAAATCTGGGCTTTCAGCTTTCCAGCTGACAAGCTCAGGGTCTTTAATCTCTGATCCATTGCAACCCCCCCACCCCCCACCCCAAAAAAAGAAGTTAGAAAGTTGCTGAAATACCCCTTTAATTACCATATTTTTTGGTCTATAAGACACTCTGGACCACAAGACACACGTTACTTTTAGAGGAGGAAAACAAGGGGAAAAAAATCTGCTTCTGCCTCCCAGCATCTATCTGGTATTCTTCTGGCTAGCATCCTTGCAGCAAACAGCCAACAGCCTAGTTAGCTTCAGCACGTTGTACTCCATTGTGCCCACTACCACTCAACTGAGCTGAGTTGCTGCCACTACTGAAGAACGCTGGAGCCTTTGCTTCCAATTGTTGCCTATCCCCACTGTCTATCGCCGCCCGCTTACCAGCCACGTTCGCCGCCAATCGCTGCAGCACATTCACTGTGGCCCATTCGCCACTGGTGATGAACAGGCAGCGGCAAACAAGCAACAATAGACGGTGGCAGTGGTGATACCTACCGCCTAGAACAACTGATTGGTGGTATTCTGAGAGGCCGATCTAACCGCCAATCAGCTGCTCGGCAGAGAAGGCTTCAGCGTTCCACAGCGGTGGTATACCAACCCCCCCTCCCCCGCTGCGATATTTGCTCTAAAAGACGCACATTTGCATCCACTTGGTGGGGGGGCAAGTGCATCTTGTAGTGCAAAAAATACAGTAAGTGCAAAACCAAAGACGCTAGAATGATAAAGAATAAGGACCTTGTCTCTTTTTAATGCTGAGATTGTAGGATGTCAGCCTAAGCCATCTCTGTTTTCAATGCAAATTGGGTGTCTTATTATTATTTGTTTAACCTACAGAGGCAGTGAAGACATTGACAGTGAAGGGAAAAGCTCCAGTGGACCCAGAGTGCAAAGCCAAATTGGGCAAAGTAAGTCATCGGGATCATTAATGACCTTTCCGGGAATAGAATATTTGCTAAATCAGAGTCCAGAGTTTGGTCAGCAAACAAGTTGGCAGATGTTGTCAGGACATTTGCCAAGAAGGCTTTAGGGAAGAATTGATATCTTTAATGGGATTGCTGTGGGAAAGACCTTGGGAACTGAGCAAAGACAGGCTGCCTAGGGCATGGTCAAGTAAGAGGCAGCTTAGCCTAGAGTTCGACAGTGGGTGAGACAAGAGACTCAGAAGGGATTCTCTTAAGATATAGGATTTTAAAAGTAATGGCGGGAGAATTGTATTTTCAGGCTTGCAAGATTCTGTTAATGTAGTACAACAGAATTAGCTCATTGGTTATGTTTCCTATCTGATCTGTCCGGTAGGGACGAGAGCATCTGCGGTTAGCAATGCCTGCCTTGTAGGTTGGAGATCCCCTTTTGAAGAAGCCAATGGGAAAGGAGAAGGAAGCAAGGAGTGGCATCTTAGCATAGGCCAGTAGATTAACCAGAGAGACCAAGGACATGGTGTTATGACCCACGTGGTCAAGGCAAGGCAGGGGCCTCTAGACCAGGGGTGTCAAACTCAATTTCATTAAAAGTCTCATCAGGGTTGCATTTGACCTTGGTGGGGCAGGGGTGTGTGGCCAGGGGGCGTGGCCAGCTCAATGTCACTCGTGTCGGGGAAGCCTGTGGTGGCGCAAGCCAACAAAAACTGGCTCTCAAGTTCTGTGTTCAACTGCGACAACTTCCTGCAACCCTCTGACAGAGAAAATGGAGCTCGGGAGGGCCCACATGTGGTCCTTCTGTGCTCTAGTTTTCACTGGTAGAGGCATCGTGGGCTGGTCCTTCGCTGTTTCCAGATCAGCCCCGTGGACCAGATCTAAGCACCATGCGGGCCAGATGCGGCCCACAGGGCCTTGAGTTTGACACCCCTGCTTTAGAGAGTCCTACATTGCTCTCAATAAATGTTCAAATAAACAGCCCACTAATGATCGGTAAAGCTCCACCAAAGGTGGTGTTCAGCCGGTTTGGACTAGATCTGGCATACCGGTAGCGGAAATTTTGAGTAGTTCGGAGAACTGAAAAATGCCCCTCTGACTGGCCCCATCCCCACCCTCCCCCGCCGTTACCTCTCCTATATTCCCTTGTTTTTTACCTCAGCTTATTCGCGCAACAGAGCGGATTGCTGCACCTCAGCTGAGCTAGAAAAACAGCACAGCTCACCAGCATTGTTACAAAGGGCAGTTTTTGAGTTCTGTGTGTGCGTGCGAAGCAAAAAAATTGGAAACCCACCACTGGGCTCCACCCCAGGCTACCCTGAAGGCAGCCATCTTCAGTCCATCAAGCAACAGCCCCTATGTTACCAGGAAAGTCCACAGAGTAGGAGCATGCTCACAGGACCCAGGGTCCCAAGTCCAGTCCAGCTAACTAAGCAAGTCCACAAGGCAAACTATAGTCCACAAGGTAAAGTTCATGGACAAGACATCTAGCAAAGGCAGAGCGCAAGGCAAAGGTAGCTATAAAGACAAAATAAAGCAAAGTGCAAACAGCAGACCACAAGGCAAGGCCAAAATCCAAGGGAGAAGACAGTCCTCGGCTAGGCAAAGCAACAGCCTTCAAGGCAAGGCAAAGGCAAACAAAAGACAGAGTTGAAGCCTGTGTGTGTGTGTGTTCCTTATCAGGAGGGATGAGAGAGTAGCCTTGCAGTCCTTCTCTGGGCTTGCCCCCTCCAAAGCGGGCTCCGATGGGGCCATGACACATGGTTTTCTGTCATTGCTCTCTCTTAATAACTTTATGCATTTATTTATTTATATCCCTCCTTTGTTTCTATGATCAACTACATGGGCAATAGTCATTGCAGGAAGCTTCTCCTGATGGCGTGAGGCATAGCCTTGCTCACTTAGATAAGAAGTGCATAACCCAAAGCTGCCCAAGATGAAATTAAAATAGATAAGGAAGACAGGAACAAACAAGCCTACAAGGAATGCTCTATAGATAACAAAGGCAAGGACAGGGCAGGGTCAAGGAATGCTCTATGGATGGGTAACGAACTTTTGTCTCTCACTGGCTATATGAATATATAAGATGTTTGCCACACTGTTAGGTGTGGCTTTTTATTTGCATGCTTGCTTCCTGTAACCTGTGGAACTGTCCGCCCAGATATTTGGCCAAAATAAAAGCTGTTACTTTTTCCAAGCCTCTGCTTAAGTCTCTTTTTGGAACTTTGATGACTTGACTACATTTTGGACCTTATAGCAGGATCTGGTTTAGTTAGTAGTTGGATGGAGCCCTACAGGAAGTCCTAAGGCTGTAGGCCAGACTAGCAAATTGGAAGAAGATAATTGCATTTTTCAGCCAAGGAAACTGCATGTTTATCTGTGAAGTCACCAGGAGTCAAACCTAGCTTAGAAGAGGCTTTCTTTTCTTTTCTCATTTTTTTCATTCCTTTGCTTTGAATAACCTCTCTTCCTCTTTCTTGCCCTTTCTAAAGGCCCATGTTTATTGCGAAGGAGATGCCATTTACAATGTGATGTTGAATCAGGTGAGTGGACCCTACCTGTTTTTTTTTTTTCCAAGCAAGATTCTGCCTTGTTGGAAAAAAAAGGTGGAAGAATTAGCTTCATCCCTTAATTTCAGTTTCAGAGTCTACCAAATGAGATCAGGCGAGGCCTATCTCTAAATCTCTTGTCCTTAGCAAGATTATCTGGAGGATAAAATTGTGGGGAGAACTATATAATCCTTCCTAAGAGGCACGAAAGATAGAACTAGAAACTAATGATGTAAGTCAGTGATTCTCAACCTTTTCTTCACCACGGACCCGCCCCCCCTTAAATACCTTTTGTGGTCATGGACCATGGCCACAGACCCCCAAGACTCAACTCAAGATTTAAATAATATTTTTTTCAATCCTTCACAAATCCTTGGTGATGACATTGCGGTCCCCCGAGGGGTCCATGGACCACGGGTTGAGAGCCACTGATGTAGGGGGAGCTTATTGATAAATTTGGGCTCCCCACTTCCTCAGCTGGCTTCATATCATCCTACAGAGCAAAAAATTCCCTGAAGAGATTGGCGAAATAGTTGCATGAAAGCCTGATCTTTCATAAGAAGTTTGTTCTAAAGGCATATAGGAGAGCAGAACATGGAATAGAAATGGAAGCAGATGTTGTCTTCTCATTTCTGACCAGCTCCTTTTTCTTCATCTTGGCTTCCTCCAGACAAACCTTCAATTCAACAACAATAAATACTATATCATACAACTGTTGGAAGAGGACAATGCACGGAACTACAGTGTCTGGATGCACTGGGGGCGCGGTGAGTTGGGGCAAGAAATTGAGTCATGGAGGAAAGAAGGAAGAGCAAAGCTAACAGACCTGGAACAGGAGTAGGCCTTAATTTTTAATACAAACTAAAAACAAATCATGGCTCTATCATGGTTTCACCTAGCAATCATGGATCTAGGATTGTTTTTCTCAACCTTGGCAACTTTCAAGATGCGTAGACTTCAACTTCCTGAATTCATGCTGGCTGGGGAATTTTGGGAGTTGAAGTCCACACATCTCAAAGTTGTCAAAATTGAGAAATACTATCAGAGATTTCACTGCCTAATGCTATAAGCGGTTTGAATGCAGTATTGCAGGCTAACTGCCAGGAGTTCAATCCTGACCAGTTCAAAGATGACTTAGCCTTCTGTCCTTCTAAGGTCGCCAAAATAAGGACCTAGATTGTTGGAGGTACCGTATTTATCGGCGTATAACACGCACAGGCGTATAACACGCATCTTCATTTTAAGAGGGAAATTTCAGGAAAAAAAATTAAA